TGACTCTGTGTATTCCTTCCATCTTCTTTTGATGCTTCCTGTGTTGTTTAATATTTTCCCCATAGAATCCTTCACTATTGCAACTCAAGGCTTGAATTTTTTTTCTTAAAAGATAGGAGATTCTAGGGTATGTTTTATGTTGATTCATTAGATAGAGAAAAAGTTGTTGATTAGGAGGAAAAGAAGCAATAATTGTAGGAGCTAAGTCCTTATAGAGGCAAGAGGGAATGGTAGTGTGTCCACAGTGTGTGTGTGTGTGTTGGCGGGGGGCGGGGGCGGCGAATTGGCCTTGGTTGGGTAAGGCTTCCAATAAACGAAAAGGTTTGGGTGCCCCCCTAGTGTAGATAAAATAAAGCCATAATTTGACTTGGCTTTTATAGAGCCCTCCCCAGTTTGAGGCCGTTTTTTCAACTTTATCTCATGATTCTGTCTCCCCAGGTGTCCCAAGCTTGAATTTTAAAGTTTTCCTCCCTATTCCCTTACCTTGACTTGTGTTTTTTTCCTCCCTTGCCATCTACCTGCCCCGTCCCCAGTCCACCCCATTTACCAGTTAAAATCTTTCTTTTCTTTCACAGCCGAGGTCAAATCTCACTTCTTCCACAAAACTGTCATATGTTCTCCCAGTCTGTACGTCGCTCCTTCCTGGGAATTCCCAGAAGCCGATTTTTGAACTTGTTTCATATCATTTCTCATAACTTGCTTTGAATGAGTTAATTTTGTCTTTTATCCCCATTTGATTGTGAATTCCTGGACAGCAGGAACAGTATATTGTTACCTGAATAGGATCCGTGCCCTGGAGCAGTCAAGCCAATGAAACATACTCCAAGTCAGAAAGAGTGAGAAAGTTTTAATTTAGGAGGTGTACACCAACGGGGATCCAACAGTAATGCAGGCTGTCTCTATAGAGTCCTAAAAGGCATTTTTACATCAGAGCTTATATATGATTTTTACAAAGGTTAGACATGTTGTTATACATCCTAAGGTGTTTACAAGAGACTGTTTATCATACTAAAGAGATACCTGCTGGACATTTCCTTATCTGACATCTGGGCTCTAATCTTCCTGTGGGGGATCCTAAGTCACAAAACAAAGTCATTAACAAAGGTATGTGCAAAACAAAGCCATTAACAAAGGTATGCGAAAAGGGAGAAGGCAAAGAAGGGGAGAAAAAAAAAGAAACGTATAGGTTCATCATGGCATTAGTTATGTCGAGCTCTCAGTTGCCCATTTTGAAAAGGAGAAAACATGCTGGGGAGTATTAGGGTCACATTTCATATCATTTCTCATAATTTGCTTTGAGTGAGTTAATTTTGTCTTTTATCCCCATTTGATTGTGAATTCTTGGACAGCAGGAACAGTATATCTTTTATCTTTGAATCCAATACTATCAGTGCATTTAACTTGATGGGTATACAAAAAAATGTTTCTAGCTGCATTTGAAAAATATATGAAGCTCAGGCATAATTTTTACCATCATCTCATGTTTGTGATGTATTTGTCAGTTGAAGTGTATTCATGACTGTTCATTATAGTTGTGTAAACCTTTTATAGGAGCCCTGGTGGCACAGTCGTTACAGCACTTGGCTGCTAACCGAAAAGTCAGCGGTTCGAACTCACTAGCTGCTCTGTGGGAAAAAGATGTGGCAGTCTGCTTCCATAAAGATTTACAGCCTTGGAAACCCTATGGGCAGTTCTGCTCTGTCCTATAGGTTGCTATGAGTCGGGATCGGCTCAATGGCAGTGGGTTTTAAACCTTTTATTGAACAACAATGATTTAAGCTGATATTTCCCATTTTAAAACTTTCGGTGTGTTTGAAGTAAGTTTTTTTTCTTTTTTTATCTTACAGGTGGATGCTCTCTCTGATAAGTGTGATGACGATGGATCTTCAGACTCTGGTCCCAGGGTTTTATTCGGTTGTGTTACCTCTATACTGGAAGGTGATGGCTTCGTTAATCACACAGCTTACTTCTCTCTAGACGTTGTTTGTAAAGGTACAATTTACATTTTTTTTAAATTTTAAATTAGGATTTACCAATTTTTAAAAATTTTCTACATTAGATTTTGAGATGATTGCAAACATTACTTCAAGGGTCAAATTTGGAATATGCCTAAATTGTTGAGAGGATTTTAGTACTAGAACTACTTCTCCTGTGTACTTGGCTCCTATTGGTGGCTCTTTAATGTTTGAGGTGGACCTTTGGGGCTGAAAATAATGTACGGCATGAGGACAGACATGTAATGTTTTTAAACTCTTCATGCTATCATTTGTTGCACGATGATTTATTGAATGCAGTCGTTAATACCTTTGTGATTTTTCTGTTCATATAGGTTTTCTAATTTCTCATCTAACCCAAAAATATTACAAATATATAGGGATACTGTTAATTTTAAAATACTTCAAATGCTTTAAAATAAAGTTTGGAGATCACCGGGTGTGTGTGTGTCCGTCCATCGTTGAATTCTATTTGTAGTTAGCACATACAATATTTTATCTTTTATGCCTAAAGCAATAATTTGTTTATGCCATTTGAGTTTAATTCAGTAGCTATTTATTGAGTACCTATATGTTCAAGATAGTGTGCTAGATATGGGCGAGACCAAGATAAATATGACTTTATTAAGCCCTGCCTGTAAGGAGCTCATCGTCTAATTGGGAGAGACAGACACGTGAGTACATTAAAACAATGTGATGAAGACAGCATTAGTGAGCAGAGCAGAGAGAATGATTGGCTACTGTAGGGATAATTGGGGAAGGTTGCCTGGATGTAGTACTCTCCAAGCTGGACTCCATTCCCCTGCCAGGCTGGATTTTGCAAGATGAATGGAAGTAAAAATTTTGTACCTTCTTTAAGCCCAGTCATCTGCCACATAGCTTGGGTGCAAAAGAGAAAGTCAGCTCAGCCTCACCAAACAGCTTGCTGTTTTACTCTTCTTGCATGTTAAAGTCAGGGCTTGACCTTTGTTGCTAACCCTGGGTGTCCACTAAAATGAAATTCAGGTGGCCAGCTAGAATTTTAAGACCTGTTTAGTCATAAATCCCCAATTCTATGAGAAAAGGCCCCCATGATTGCCCAAAGACAATTTCTCAGTCCTTATAACCATACCAGCAAGAAGTCACCACCAGTGGTAACCCTCACTAGGAGACGTTTTATCAAGATGGGAAAGACTTAAACGTGTTTGTAACACTAGAGGGATTTATTAAAAGTGCAGAAGAGAGCAGGAAGGACTGATGAAACAAGGTCACTGAGGAGTAAAGAGAGGATGGGATCCAAAGCACAGGTGGAGTGACTTACTGCTGCAGAATAAATGGAAGTAAATCTATTCTCCAAAGACCTCTCCAGGATGAGGAAGTGGATAAAAAAGAAGTGCTGAGCTCCCAATCAGTTATATTTAAAATTGTCAGAATACCCGCTGTGAACTTGGTTATGAAATTCAGTGAAAATGGCAAAAAAAAAAAAAAAAAAAAAAATTCCTATTTAAAGAATAATAAGAATCTAAAAGAAGAAAAAAGAAACATTGCTTTACGAATTTTTTTTTTGCCTCACATAACTGGGAGCCAGTATATGCTGTTTCCTTGTTGATGTTCAACAGGTATTTGAGTACTTGAAGTTTCAGGTATTGTTTTCATAATATTTGCATTCTAATGGGGTGGACTACAGACAACCAGCAGGCAAACAAAAAAGAGTTAGGAATTGTTTTCTGCTACTTGGCTGTTTGCATCCACCAGTCACTCCTTGGAAACCCTATGGGGCAGTTCTACTCTGTTGTATAGGGTCGCTGTAAGTCAGAATCAACTGGACAGCAACAGATTAGGGGTGGGGGAATGGGAAGGAGAGGGAAAGGGTGATTTTGCTTAGGGGGCATTGAGTTTATGTTAACGGTGGTGGAATTCTTTGGAAAACGATAGTGAGAATGGTTGCACAATTTGAAGAATGTAATCAAATTACTGAATTATACAAATTATACTGAATCAAATCAAAGTACTGAATTATACATGTAGAAATTGTTGAATTGGTGTATGTTTTGTTGTGTACATTTTCAACACAATAAAAAAACTGGGGGTGGGGTGGATTGGGGTTTAATATAGATAGATTAGGGAAGGCTCCTCTGAGGGGGTGACACTTGAGCCAAGACAGGAAGGATAAGGAGCCAGCTAGGGAAAATGTTCCAGGCCAGAGAAGAATGAATGTAAAAGTCTTAGCATGTTCTAGAACTAAAAGGAGGACAGAATGGCCAGAGTGTGGTGAGTATGAGTGGTATGACTTGATTGAGGGTTAGTATGAGATTGTCAGTGTCAGTAGGATCCAGATGGTGTAGAGCTTGGTCCTGGGTTAAGTACATAACTTACACTGTTAGATTTAATCCTAAGAACATTCTGAGGTAATCTTGTTGTAGTCAGTTTCAATAGGATGGTAGAGATGAAAAACACAATTGTAGTTAAGTTGAGGAATTGAGTGGAAGGTAAACATGTGCAGATCGTGTGTGACAGGAGTGTGAGAGAGGGAGGGGATGAGCACGTGTATCCATGTTTGCACAACACGAACATGTTTATATGTCAACAGGAAGTGGCCTAATTGGAGCTTCAGGGCCCATGATCCCATTTGGTTTTGCCTGCCTCACAGGATGGTGGTGATCATCAGCCCCGTTTTGCAGACAAGATTTGAGGTCTTAGGTCCAAGAGACTCATGGGAAATGCCTAACATCAGTGATGGGTCTCCAAATGTTTTTTATATGTAAATAAACAATAAATATTTAACCATTTTGGTAAAGGATGCTAAAATGGAATTGACCATTTAGCCTAAATGTGGCGGTAGTGGGGGCTTTACAGTCAAAGTGTACAATACTACCATTACTTTGCCCTTTCTCTTTCAGGGTAAGCACTAGTACAGTCCTATAACATCCTGCATGTCCTTATGTAACCAGTGTGACCTGAGTTAGAAGCTTCGGGTCACAAATAAGGTTATTTCTTTATTTTTCATAATAAACTGGCTTGAATATCTACTTGAAAGATTAAAAGGACATCCTGTGTAGCCTTCTTATCCCTTTTGAGACTTCCCCTAGGCGTTAAATTTCCCAACATTCCAGTGTCTTACTCAGTCCAGAGGTGGCTGCCTTGTTTCAATATGCTCTTTGACCAGTGAATTCTCTAAAGGGTAAAGGGCTCTTCTGTTCAGCTGCTGACATTCTTGTGGTTGGATTTAGACAATGGGAAGCACAAGTAGGAGACTGCAGGGTGGGAAGGGAGAAGTTGGGATATTTGTTCCCCTAGCTATCTAACTGCCAAGCTGCAAGTTGGCAATGTGTTTATTCTTCTACCAAAGGCCATAGCTTCTATAGGGCAGCCCTCTCCTGTAGCTACAGCTATATCTGGGTAGCCATATATCTATTGTCTAAACTTGGGCATTTTGGGGACTAAAAGGAGGTGTTGCAATTGATTAAAATAGAATCAATTTTTGGAATATTTATATGTTGACTGACAGACTGGTTTCATCGTTGGAAGTTTAAAATAGTATTATTCATAAGTTTTTAAAAAATAAAATTATTTATAAAAATGAATGTATCTGTGTAAATTAATGGAAATTTAAAAAAAACTTCTGAATGTTTCATCAAATTGAGATCTAGCTGCAAATTCATAGGTCTCCTTAACTTCCTCCCATTGTGTTATGGAATATATATGTATCCAATTGAAAATAAGAGCTACCTTAAAAGATTCATACCACAAGTTGAGATGTTCCCAAATGCAATCCTCTGATTTCAAAATTATATATTGTACACAATTTGAGCTCTGATGGTTCAGTTTGTTCACTACCTCCATTGCTTTTCTAGGGCTAGATTTCAACATTTTCTTTTTTACATTAGGACTAATCTCTATACCTTATGACAGGACATCTGAGTTGCTATTTCCCACAGATATTTCATGTAAACCTAACCTACAGTATTCCAGATTTCCCAATGATCCTGCTGATTTTGTGGCCTGGCAAAATCTTGCCTATTGTAGACTGTGGTGTGGGCCATGACACGACCAACTGGTCTACCAGGTGATTGGCTGGGGGCGGCAGCATCTGATACTCCTACTATCACTGTTGGAGACTGATTGCAGTTAGCTGTTCCTAGCCACTCATATCTGAGGGCACTTTGTTTTATCATCAAGCACCCCGCATGTGGTCATTGAAGATGAGGTATTAGTTACCTTGTGTCTGGAAAGTATTTGGAAAAGAGAGGCAGATTATTGCTGCTTGTATTTCTGATTTAACTGCATGTTAGTGAGAACTCTGTTAACTGTAGCTGGAATTATGAAGTACAGGTGTACCATCCTGGGCTAACTTTTTGTCTTTTTATTATGAAAGATTTCAAATATACAGCAAATTTGAAATAATTTTACAGTTAACAACCGTATAACCACCACCTGGACTTTGCCATTAACATTTTATTATACTTGTTTTATCTCATATCTAGGAGTCCCTGGGTGGTGAGACAGTTAAGTGTTTGGCTGCTAACTGACAGGTTGGCAGTTCGAGTCCACCCAGAGGTGCCTTGGAAGAAAGGCCTGGACATCTATTCCAAAAGATCATAGCCATTGAAAACTCTAAGGAGCACAGTTCTACTCTGACACATGTGGGGTTGGCGGCAACTGGTTTGATTTTGTTTTTTAATCTGATATCTGTCTATGTATTTATCATTCCATCCCTTCATCAGACCACCTTATGTTGATGCATTTGAAAGTAAAATACACACAGTTTCCTCTAAATACTTCAGCATGCTCATCAGTAACTCAAGTTTAATATTTGTTTAGTTATTTTTTCTTCTGAATTTCTTTGAGTTTTGACAAATGCATGTACCTGTGTAACCTAAACATTACCCTCATGCCCTTCACCAGTCAGTCCCTGTCTCCTTCACCCCCAGGAAAACCCTGCTCTGATTTTTTTTTCTTGCTGTAGGTTTTATTTGCCTATTCTAGAATTTTAAATAATGGAATCAGACATATGTACTCTTTTGTCTAAGACCTTTTTCACTCAGAAGAATGTTTTTAGATTTATCCATGGTGTATGTATCTGTAGTTCATTCCATTATATAAACACCACGGTTAGTTTCTCAGTTCTCCTGTTAAAGGTCACCTTGGCTGTTACCAGCTTTGGCTATTATGAATAAAGCTGCTGAAGACATTCTTATATAAGTCTTCCTGTGGACCTATGATTTTGTTTGTCATAGCTAAATGCCTAGGACTAGGACTGAAACCACTGAGTCATAGTTTAAGGAAATACATAAATATACATATTCCCAGTAGCAGTGTTTGATAGTTCCAGTTGCTCCAAATCCTCCCTGGTACCTTTGCATCCTGTGACTTACTTTGATTGTGAAAATTTGTAACTATTTATCAAATGTATAATATATGTATCTTAGAGTCCATTACCTGTCCCAAAAACCTGGGAAAATTGTTTCATTCTTATTGTAGTAGTATTTCCTACTGCTACTGCTACCATTTCAAGATCTATTCTAAAGTGTACATCACTGTCAGTGATAGGATAATATCCATACACTCACAGGGAAGACCAGTTAATATGACTATTCTCCAAATTTATGCACCAACCACTGATGTCAAAGATGAAGAAAATGAATTTTATCAACTCCTCTAAGTCTGAAATTTATCAACCATGCAATTAAGATGCATTGATAATTACTGGTGATTGGAATGTGAAAGTTGGAAGCAAAGAAGAAGGATTGGTAGTTGGAAAATATGGCCTTGGTGATAGAAATGCATGATAGAATTTTGCAAGACTAACAACTTATTCATTGCAAATACCTTTTTTCAACAACATAAACGTTGACTATACATGTGAACCTCACCGGATGTAATACACAGGAATCAAATCGACTACATCTGTGGAAAGAGATGATGGAAAAGCTCAATATCATGTCAGAACAAGGCCAGCGACTGATTGAGGAACAGACCATCAGTTGCTCATGTGCAAGTTCAAGTTGAAGCTGAAAAAATTAGAACAAATCCATAAGAGCCAAAGTATGACCTTGAGTATATCCCATCCTGAAATTAGAGACCATCTCAATAAATTTGAGGCATTGAACATTAATGACCGAAGACCAGACAAGTTGTGGGATGACATCAAGGACATCATACATGAAGAAAGCAAAAGGTCATTAAAAAGATAGGAAAGAAAGAAAAGACCAAAATAGATGTCAGAAGAGACTCTGAAACTTGCTCTTGAATGTCGTGTAGCTAAAGCAAATGGAATAAACTATAAAGTAAAAGAGGTGAACAGAAGATTTCAAAGGGCGGCTTGAGAAGACAAAGTAAAGTATTATAATGAAATGTGCAAAGACCTAGAGTTAGAAAACCAAAAGGGAAGCGCACGCTTGGCATTTCTCAAGCTGAACTGAAGAAAAAATTCAAGCCTCGAGTTGCAATATTGAAGGATATTCTATGGGGAAAATATTGAACGACGCAGGAAGCATCAAAAGAAGATGGGAGGAATACACAGAGTCACTGTACCAAAAGGAATTGATTGACGTTCACCCATTTCAGGAGGTAGCATATGATCAAGAATAGAGATGGTATTGAAGGAAAAGTCTGAGCTGCACTGAAGGCATTGGCCAAAAAAGGCCCAGGAATTTACAGAATACTAATGAGATGTTTCGGCAAATGGGTGCAATGCCTGAAGCCTTTACTCATGTGTGTCAAGAAATTTGGAAGACAGCTACCTGGCCAACTGACTGGAAGAGATCAATATTTGAACCACTTCCAAAGAAAGGTGATTCAACAGAATGCAGAAATTATTGAACAGGATCATTACTATCCCATGCAAGTAAAATTTTGCTGAAGATAATTCAAAAGCGGTTGCAGAGTACATCAACAGGGAACTGCAATAAATTCAAACCAGGATTCAGAAAAGGACATGGAACAAGGGATATAATTGCTGATATCAGATGGATCTTGGCTGAAAGCAGTACCAGAAAGATGTCTGCCTGGGTTTTATTGACTATGCAAAGGCATTCAACTCTGTGGATCATAACAAATTATGGATAAGATTACGAAAAATGGGAATTCCAGAACAATTGTGCTGATGAGGAACCTCTACATAGATCAAGAGGCAGTTGTTCGAACAGAACAAGGGGATACTGCCTGGTTTAAAATCAGGAAAGGTGTGCATCAAGGTTGTATCCTTTTACCAAGTTTATTCAATCTGTATGCCAAGCAAATATTCAGAGAAGCTGCACTGTATGAAGAAGAACGTGGCATCAGGATTGGCAGAATACTCGTTAACCTGGGTTGTGCAGATGACACAACCTTGCTTACTGAAAGTGAAGAGGACTTGAAGCACTTACTGATGAAGCTTAAAGATCACAGCCTTCAGCATGGATTTCACCTCAACATAAAGAAAACAAACATCCTCACAATGGGACTAATAAGCAACATCATGATAAATGGAGAAAAGGTTGAAGTTGTCAAGGATTTCATTTTACTTGGATCCACAATCAACACCCATGGAAGCAGCAGTCAAGAAATCAAAGGACGTATTGCATTGGGCAAATCTGCTGCAAAAGACCTCTTTAAAGTATTGAAAAGCAAAGATGTCACTTCGAGGACTAAGGTATGCCTGACCCAAGCCATGGTACTTTCAATCGCCTCATATGTATGGACAATAACAAAGACCAAAGAAGAACTGATGTCTTTGAATTGTGGTGTTGGTGAAGAATACTGAATATGCCATGGACTGCCAGAAGAATAAACAAATCGGTGTTGGAAGAAGTACAGCCAGAATGCTCCTTAGAAGCAAGGACGGTGAGACGTCTCACGAACTGTGGACGTGTCATCAGGAGGGATCAGTACCTGGAGAAAGACATCATGCTTGGTAAAGTAGAGGGTCACTGAAAAAGAGAAAGACCCTCAACGAGATAGATTGACACTGTGGCTGCAACAGTCCGCTCAAACATAGCAACGAATATGAGGATGGTGCAGGCCGGGGTAGTGCTTCGTTCTGTTGTACATAGGATCGCTATGAGTTGGAACTGACTCGAAGGCACCTCACGACAACAACAACACTGCTACCACTAATAGCAGTCAATGTTTATTTGATGTTGATTGTGTGCCAGGCACTATACAATGAGTTTTACACGTATTGATTAATTTCCGTGCAGCTCTATGTTGTATTATTATTATGCTTCTCGTTTTATAGATGAAGAAACTGAGGCACAGAGAGGTTAAGTACCTTGACTGAGGTTGCATACTCAGTAAATGGCAATATCAAGATTTGAACTCAGGCAGCCAGGTTCGAACTTGTGTCTTACCTATGTGCTTTACTGCCTTTCCTGAAGGCGTTGTGAATGTGACCAATCGTTTTATAAATCCTGTGCCCCTTATGAAGGTTGGCCTGTGAACGCACAGTTGACACTTTTCCCGCTGTGACTTTGTTAAATCAGTACAGAAGAATCAATGCCTAAAAGATTATAAACTTTCTTTATGTCAGGAAAATTTATAGGGTATCTGTTAAAAATGTTCAAAATATTCCTTTGATATTATAGAAACTATTTTAGTGTATTACAACTTCAGAGTAACTTGTAAAGTTTACCATTACCAAAAAATAAGAGATAATTACAATTTGATTTTTCTCCATGGCTGTTATAGGTTTTGAGCCTTATGAGGGTGACTGGATAGTAGCTGAATTTTCCATCCAGCCAGACACGTGGAGCAGAAAGGCAATCTCAGTGAAGCCTCTGAGGCATAAGCATGTGTATGAGGTAGTTCGTTTCCATGTTGCGCTTGTCCTTTGTTTCTGTAAATCCTTCCGTTAGTATCAACTTCTGCTGCTCAGGGTTCTATTGGGTATGCTGGAAACCTAGAAAAGTAAAAGAAAATACATTCTTTGCCAAAGAGGAGCCTATTTTTTTTTTTATTGAAAATGCTGTTGTGCTGAAAGGAAGTAATTAGAGAATAATATAGGATATAATAAAGATTTAAATTAGTTTATTTGGAAAGTATTAAGTTCTGAGAACAACAAGAACAGAAAAAATTTATGTGCCAGATAATTGTTGGGAAAGAATGAATGGAGTGGGACCTGAACTTGCTGGTAAAATCTTGGTATTATCTGGATAGTGGAGACTGAAAAGGAGTTGGAAATTCAATTTGCACAAAGGTGCAGATGGAGGAATGAGCTTGGAATGTGACAGAGGAAGTAGGGGGAAAACGATCATCAACTTATACCACATCAACCCCTTTCATTCTCTCAGCTGTAACTATAGAGGTTTGTGTAATATTTAGAGCAGTGTTTCTCACCTGAGATCCATCCCCAGAGATTCTGATTTAATTGGTCTGAGGTGAGGTCTGGGCATGAGGATTTTTACAAAGCACCCCTGGTGTTTCAAAAGTGCCAGTCAGATTAGGAATCATGATTTGGAGTGATCTACAGTTTAGAGCCAGAGAGACAGTGTATGCTTTTAAATAAACATTTTCATTTATTATATTTACAGGTCTGCATTACTAGCCTCTGTGGAAGAAATGGGGTGATAGATGATAATATCTTTTTTACCTTGGATTCTCTGAAACTTCCTGATGGATACGTACCTCAAATATCTGACATCGTCAATGCAGTTGTAGTGGAGCGCGCTCACTCAACCTATATTTGGAGAGCACTTTCTATGACCCTAGTGAAACGGTTGTCATAAGAGAACATTTTTATCCCCTGTGGATTTTATTCTGTGGGCAGTAAAGGGCCTGGTTTTAATGAGTTTGAAAAAATTAGCATAATAAACTTCAACAGTTATTTTAAATGCAACTTTTTTTTATTGTGCTTTAAGTGAGAGTTTACAATTCAAGTTAGTCTCTCATACAAAAATTGATATACATATATTGTTATGTGACCCTAGTTGCTCTCCCTATATTGTGACAGCACACTTCTCCTTTCCACTCGGGATTTCCCATGTCCATTCAACCAACTCCCGACCCTCTCTGCCTTCTCATCTCTCCTCCTGACAGCAGCTGCCCATTTACTCTCATGTATCTACTTGAGCTAAGCAGCACACTCTTCATGAGTATCATTTTATGTCTTACGGTGCAGTCTAATCTTTGTCTAAAGAGCTGGCCTCGGGAATTGTTTTAGTTCTGGGTTGACAGAGAGTCCGGGGGCCACGCTTTCTGGGGTTCCTCCAGTCTCAGTAAGACCATTAAGTCTGGTCTTTTTACTAGAAGTTGAGATCTGCATCCCACCCTTCCGCCACTCCATCAGGGACTCTCTGTTGTGCTTCCTGTCAGGGCGGTCATTGGTGATAGCTGGGCACCATCTAGTTCTTCTGGTCTAAGGCTGATGAAGTCTCTGGTTTATGTGGCCCTTTCTGTCTCTTTGGCTAATACTTTCCTTGTGTCTTTGGTGTTCTTCATTCTCCTTTGCTCCAGGTGGGTTGGGACCAATTGATGCATGTTAGATGGCCGCTCGCTAGCTTTTAAGACCCCAGACGCCACTCATCCAAGTGGGATGCAGAACATTTTCTTAATAAATTTTGTTACGCCAGTTGACCTAGATGTCCCCTGAAACCATGATCCCTAGACCCTCGCCCCTACTACTGTCCCTCAAAGTGTTTGGTTGTATTCAGGAAACTGTTTAGTTTTGGTTTAGTACCGTTGTGCTGACTTCCCCTGTAGTGTGTGTTGTCCTTCCCTTCACCTAAGATAATTCTTGTGTACTACCTAGTTAGTGAATAACCCTCACCCTCCCTCCCCACCCTTGTAACCATCAAAGAATGTTTTCTTCTGTGTTTAAACCCTTTCTTGAGTTCTTGTAATAGTGGTCTCATACGGTATTTGTCCTTTTGCGACTAAATTTGCTCGGCATAATGCCTTCCAGATTTCTCCATGTTATAAGATGTTTCACGGCTTCATCATTGTTCTTTATCGTTGCATTGTATTCCATTGTGTGACTATACCATAATTTGTTTATTCATTCGTCTGTTGATGGGCACCTAGATTGTTTCCATCTTTTTGTTATCGCAAACAGTGCTGAAATGAACATGAGTGTGCATATATGTATTCATGTGACAGCTCTTATTTATTCCAAGGAGTCAGATTGCTGGATCGTAGAGTACTTCTATTTCTAGCTTTTTAAGGAAGCACCAAATTGATTTCCAAAGTAGTTGTACCATTTTACATTCCCACCAACAGTGTATAAGTGTTCAGTCTCTCCACAACCTATCAACATTTATTATTTTGTGTTTTTTGGATTAATGCTAGCCTTGTTGGGGTGCGATGGATCTCACTGTAGTTTTGTTCTGCATTTCTCTAATGCCTAATGATCATGAGCATTTCCTCATGTGTCTGTTAGCCTCCTGAACGTCTTCTTTGGCGAAGTGTCTCTTCATATCCTTTGCCCAGTATTTAATTGGGTTATTTGTCTTTTTGTTGTTAAGGTTTTGCAGTATCTTGTAGATTTTAGAGATTAGACGCTGATTGGATTTGTCGTACCAAAAATTTTTTCCCAGTCTGTAGGTTGTCTTTTTACTCTTTTGGTGAGGTCTTTTGATGAGCATAAATGTTTGATTTTTAGGAGCTCCCATTTATCGTCTCTCTTTTGGTGCTTGTGCATTGTTACTTATGGTTCATGTTCTGTTTGTGCCATGTATTAGGGCTCCTAGCATTGTCCTTATTTTTTCTTCCATGATCTTTATCATTTTAGATTTTATATTTAGGTCTTTGATCCATTTTGAGTTAGTTTTTGTGCATGGTGTGAGTATGGGTCTTGTTTCAGTTTTTTGCAGATGGATATCTAGTTATGCCAGCACCATTTGTTAAAGAGACTATCTTTTCCCCAATTAATGGACTTTAGGCCTTGGTCAAATGTCAGCTGCTCATAGGTGGATGAATTTATGTCTGGATCCTCAGTTCTGTTCCATTGGTCTATGTATCCATTGTTGTACCAGTACCAGGCTGTTTTGACTACAGTGGCGGTATAACAGGTTGTAAAATCAGGTAGTGTGAGGCCTCCCACTTTGTTCTTCTTCAGTAATGCTTTACTTATCTGGGCTCTCTTCCCTTTCCATATGAAGTTGCTGATTTGTTTCTCCATCTCATTAAAAAATGCTGTTGGAATTTGGATTGGAATTGCATTGTATCTGTAGATCGCTTTGGGTAGAATTGACATTTTCACAATGTTGAGTCTTCCTATCTGTGAGGAAGTATGTTTTTCCACTTATGCAGGTCTCTTTTGGTTTCTTGGCAGTAGTGTCTTGTAGTTTTCATTGTATAGGTCTTTTACGTCTCTGGTTAGGTTTATTGCTAAGTATTTTATCTTCTTTGGGGCTTTTGTAAATGGTATTGATTTGGTGATTTCCTCTTCAAAGTTGTCTTTGTTAGTGTAAAGGAATCCAACTGATTTTTGTATGTTCATCTTGTATCCTGAAACTTTGCTGAAATCTTCTATTAGTTCCATTAGTTTTCTTGTGGATTCTTTGGGGTTTTCTGTGTATAAGATAATATCATCTGCAAATAGAGATACTTTTACTTCTTCCTTACCAATTTGGATGCCCTTTATTTCTTTTACTAGCCTAATTGCTCTGGCTAGACCTCCAACACAAGGTCGAATAGGAGTGGTGATAAAGGGTATCCTTGTCTGGTTCCTGTTCTCAAGGGCAATGCTTTCGAAGTCTCTCCATTTAGGGTGATGTTGGCTGTTGGCTTTGTATAAATGTCCTTAATTATGTTGATGAATTTCCCTTCTATTCCTATTTTGTTGAGAATGTTTATCATGATCCCAGCCATGGTATTTTCAATAGCATCATATGCATGCGAAAGCTGGACAACGAATAAGGAAGACCAAAGAAGAACTGACGCCTTTGAATTGTGGTGTTGGTGAAGAATATTGAATATACCACAGACTGCCAAAAGAACAAACAAATCTGTCTTGGAAGAAGTACAACCAGAATGCTCCTTAGAAGCAAGGATGGCAAGACTATGTCTCACATACTTTGGACATGTTATCAGGAGGGACCAATCCCTGAAGAAGGACATCATGCTTGGTAAAGTAGAGGGTCAGCGAAAAAGAGGAAGACCCTCTACGAGATTGATTGACACGTGGCTGCAACAGTGGGCTCAAACATAGCAACAGTTGTGAGGATGGTGCAAGACCGAGCAGTGTTTTGTTCTGTTGTACATGGGGTCACTGTGGGTCGGAACCGACTCTATGGCACCTAACAATAACAATCAGATGGCAATTTCAGTCACAGCTGCTATTTCACATATGTCTTCCCTGGAGTGTATTACTTTAGCAGCTGGTGTGCAGCTGTTGTGTTAGTATTTTTCCTCTATCCTTTTAAATAGTGAACCCCAGAATCAGTTTGCTTTCATAATGCTGATTCAGTACTGCTATACTTTCAACATTTTGCCTGAGGGATTCATCAACAGTTTGCCCACAATTTAGAATGCAGGGCCCTTGAGCATCTCACCCTTATTTGTGCATCACACTGGTTTCCCTAAATGGGTGACATCATGGCACTAGGACTGGGGGAGCAGACTGAGTTAGAAGCATATTTTTCTGAAGGTGGGAAATAAATCACGTGAAAATACAAGGGCCTGCCATTACGAGTTTCTGAGGCTCCAGTGCTCTGCAGTCGAGCTTCCTAACTGGTATGTTGTGGACTGGTTGTAGATGTGCTGAGATACAGATTCCCCTCAGCTCATACAGGGATAAATGCAATGAAGAAAAGGAAATAAGACAATGATCTTGAATAGGAGTTTGCAAAGTACAGCTCGAGTCAAATCTGAACTGCTACCTGTTTTCTTTAAATAACTATATTGAGATATAATTCACATAACATGCAGTTCACCCATTTAAAGTGTACAGTTCAGTGTTTTTTAGTATATTCACAGGGTTGTGCACCCATCACCATAATCTTAATTTTAGAACATTTTTGTTCACCTTTAGAAAAGAAGGGGGAATAAAAATCAGATTCTACATTTCACTTTTTGATAGAGTCACAAACACATTAACTCTCTTTCCTGCTTTTTAAGAGTTTTGAAGCCCTGGAAACATTGAGACTCACTGTGTTCAATTGGTCATACATATATAATGATTATCCAACTTCATATCCATCCAGATTTGCAGCCTACGTTCCCTAAATGTGTAGATAATTGCCTACTGCATTCTCTCTTGAACTCAAACTCAACTGTCCTAAAACAATTTTTTCACCTTCCATCTCGGGCAACATACCTTGGACTCAGTATATTCCACATCCTAGTGACTGTTGTTGTTGTTAGGTGCCATCAAGTTGGTTCCGACTCATAGTGACCCTGTGTATGACAAAATGAAACACTGCCTGGTCCTGCGCCATCCTCACAATTGTTGCTATGTAGTACCACCACCAAACTCTCCATCCAAAGGACTGCTTTTCCCATGTGTTTCTTGCTTTATCCAGGGTGATGCTATTCACTGTTCTAGAATTTAATCTCTATTTTCTTTACGAGTCCATCATTGTCTATAAAAATCCCATCTATTTCAGGCTAAAGGCAAACATAAATGTGAAGCAGAGACTTAAAGAGAGTATCAGTTAGGAAAGGGTTCACTAGAATTAACAGGAAATGCCACTCCAGTGGCTTAAACAAGGAATTTAATGTGAAAAATAATGATACTGAGCATTTCTAGTGGAACTTCTTAGTCTCTTCTCCTACAGAGGCTAAGACT